AAAAAACATTTAGATTTTTTTTCTGCTTGCAGCATGAAACATTTCAAATCTATTCAAAATGGGTTTAGTTTGTTTGTGTTCTGTCTGACTGAAGCACAGCAGCCCTGCAGGTTATGCAGATGTGCTGTGAAATCGGGGTGCTGTGCACTGTGATAGAAAGGTACCGCCTGGGGAAAGGGGTTTTAGAGCCAGGAGAGCATGCATGTGGTCTTCTGGTTTCTCTTTAGAACTGCAGAGGGAGAAAGAAAGGGAAGGTCTTTCTACCCTTTGCACTGCTGTTCAAGGGTTATGCAAATACATCCCTATCCCACTCCCTCAAGCTGTTTGGGAGGTAAAAGGTGGCTGCTCTCGCAATCTTCGCTTTTCATTCTCTCTGTGTCTTGGGGGTTTAGCTCTGTAAGAATACGTATGTGAGCCTTACTGAAGAGATGCTCTGCCTTGGAATTTGTGGGGAATCTAGAGCTTCAGAGGAAGAGAAAGCTGTAAACCTGAATTATAACCAGTCACATCCTTTACTGGTGAAGTTTAGCAGCAATTGCGGCCAGAGGACTATTTAAATGCCAAGCCATGTGGTTATCTTTACTTGCTTTGAGTTATGTTTTAACTACATTTCTTTCATGTAAACCACTTCATTTCTCCCCATTTGAATTGGTTAAAACATCCTAATTCTGAAATTGTACATAAGTGTTGATATCCTGTGAGTGACAGAACATTGTGTGCATCAAATCCTGTCTTAAAAAGGGAGTAAATGTCTGTAGTCTTTACAGAGTACATCACATGTCTGAACTGTCTGATGGGGCTTACCAGAGTTTTGTTCTTCTCTTGCAGGCATTATGCTGCTCGAAGTGTTCCTGCTTTTGGGTTCAGTCATCATCTACTTCTTATTTTACAAGAAGAAAGAAGAAACATTGCCCTTCAAAGAGGGATGGTGGGGCAAGGGACAAAAGCCTGATGCTGAAGAAGATACAACTATTCGACCATTCAAGGTGGAAACTACAGAAGAAGAGCTGAGTGTAAGCAAATCTTTATACTGGGGAGATGTAAGAAATGGCCAAATAAATGCAGAACTTGTTCAGAAGTAATTTTTAAGTTGAACCAATAGTTACATTTATGAGAATGAGCAGTGATGTGTGGGACCTGGGGGAAGGGATTTGTCAGGACTTCCCAAGATAGTTATGTATAGACAGGTTTCACATATTGCTATGCAGTTTTACTCTCAGCTGGCTGTTTCAAGATTGCCAGGAAATAAACCCACTCTGTAAAGTCCAATAAACATAAAACTCATATTACAGATTACTCAGCTCTGTGTTTCTGTTTGTGCACCTCCCTCAGTTTGAGTGTAGATCAAAATATGAACAATATCTCTTCTTTTTTCCTTCAAAAGCAGTTACAAACATTTCATTTTCTTCCCTGCTTTATGTGTGCAGCTGTGTTGGGTGCTGCTTCTTCTGTAATTGAGGATCTACTTTGATCAACAGCAGTACCACAGTGGTAATTACAGTAAACGCATACATTGCAGAATGTGTTAGATAGCAACGTTTTGATTCTATGTGTTTAAGTCGGGGATTGCAGAATTTCATAGGTCTGTCTGGAGTTGTGGTTCAAACAGGGCACATTGGCTTGTCCATATTATTCATTTATAATGGATTCCTATTCTCTCAGTAAGGCCTGAGACAAAACTTGTGTTTGCCCTTCTTAGTAGTATCAATGGGCATTAATCTCCAATATGTTTCCTCCTTATACTGCAGACACAAAGCTAGATAATTTCTAACTTACAGATGGTTTTGAAACATGCCATTCTGTATTATGGCAGCTATTGCAACATAGTCCATTGGTAGAAAACTCTCTTCCTAAATGTATTCTTGCCTAAACCTGGAGCTGCAGTTACGCCAGCGTATGTTACTAACACATTTTTAAGAGGTGTTGTGCATGGACAGAAAGCACGTATGTAAAGACATGGTAAAAACTTCATTTTAAAATCCATGCTTTCTGTACACGTGTTAAATGCCCAAACAGTGAGCTTCAGTACTAACATCTTGCCTAGGCTTATATTGCCTATTCACTTTGAGTCATGCATACACCTAAGTCAGAGTCAGAGCTATCTCTATTGCTATATTAGAAAATGCTGTTCAGGTTTAAACCCCACAGAGGCTTGAGTAGGATTAGATTTCCAGACCTGCCTTCCATCCTCAATTCTGTGGTTCTGTATGCATTGGGAAGGGGCTCTTGGCTGTTCTTCCCTGCCAAGTGTTTTTGGACTGTTGTGGAGTATCATCAGTATCCCCTGTAACCTTGAAGTGCAGTAGGAAGGTGATTTTCGTAGTTATTCTATATTGGGAAACTTTAATTCCAGTCTAGTTTCACCAGCTTTGTGGCCGTGCAAAATCCCTCAATGTTTCCCAGTGAAGATATCCAGCCCCTTGGTTTGGGAAGGAAGACAAAAGGTTTGGGCCAGATCCATGCATTGATTGTGAGGTTGGGCTCACAAGTAACCTGGGGAACAGCACACCATGGAAAGGCATAAAGACTGAAACTGTGAAACCACTGTACTGTCAGATGAGTGTATTGTCCTCTGTGGTGACAGTGTTAAGAACACCTGTAAATGGAAGAGGAAGGAGGCCATCTGGAGGAGAAAAAGAACTGGAACAGCTGATGGAGTATCAGCAAAATGCACAGGTGTCATTAGAGATGTTATTTCCATTGTTCTCATTTCACTTGGAAATAACTAGAAACCATACACAGCAGAGCTAGAGCCTGAGATGGCACACACAAGTGCTTGTAATGTCTCTTCTTTCTTTTTCCCTGCAGGACTTGTATAGGAGACTTGACCAGGCTCGATTCACTGAGCCACTGGAGGACAGTTGCTTCCATTATGGGACTAACTCGGTGTACCTCAAGAAGGTTGTCTCCTACTGGAAAAACCAGTTCAATTGGAAGAAACAAGTTGAAGTCCTCAACAAGTACCCACAATTCAAAACTAAGATTCAAGGTGCGTGGCTTTTTCCCTTAAGAAAACCCCGGCAATACGTAACCTGGTCTGCAAGGGATCTTGGTGGCAAGAGTGCTGTGGTTGTGTTGTGTCATGTCGTGTGGGCCTTCCCTTCCTGGCTGCTGTAGCGTAGATTATTGGCATTGTTGCTGAAGCGGCAAGAAATTCCTTCATCACAAGCCTTTAGGACATGGAATGACAAATGGAATTCCCTTGTGCATGGATGGGTTGTCAGCTGGTGTTAACAGGAGCCAAGCACAGGCATTTGGAAACAGAACCGGGATCTTAAGATGTACACATGTTCCCTGGCTTGCATGCAGTCATGCAAAGATCCCCACAGATGTCTCCTCTTGCTCCATGTAATTCCCCAGCTGCTGCTGTCACGGTGATGCCATCGGCCTGGCAGCCCTCCTCAGCTGGGCATGCTGCCTGCTCAGGTTGGCCCTGTTTGCAAGGCAGATGTGCTCTGCTGCACCATTTTAAGCATTCCTGTGCCCAGGAAGGCAGGATGTGCCTTTCGCTTCCTTGATGTGCTGCCAGGTGTGAGCGAATAGTGTGGCTTCTCCTCCAAAGCATAGACACCTTTTGAAAGAGGCTGTTCAGCACAAGGGCTGCTTGTGCTGGAGCTTGGTCAAACTGGATGTTTCACATGCTTGAATGAAGGTTGTGCTTGGGTAATCTGGGGGTACAGGTGTCCATTTAGAGCACAGCAGGCAATTGTCTTGCATGATGGCAAAATTTAAGATTATGCTCTTATGTTTTCAGTTGCACCCGTAATCGTATGTTATTCCATAATATTTAAAATTGATTTTGGACAATAAATGGTTGTTACATAGGGGTTAAAACGTAAAGATTTTATTTAAAGTGGAAAAACCATCATGTGAGACAAGAAAGGGAAAAGAAGCAAAAGACCGTGCTCTATGTATAGCAATAGGAAGAGAAATTTCAACACTAGGAATGATTACAGAGATGAGACATGAAAAGGCAAGATCAAACATGCTGCACAGCAGATTCCCAGCTTCTGTCATCACTTGAAAGTTCTTCAGAGAATACAGAAATCCACAGAGTTGTCAAAGATGGGGAAATCTGTCAGTGAAAGGGTGGGATTGCTGGTGAGCTGGAGCTCAGGAGAGCAAAATGTGCTTAAATACATCAAGAACTGAGGCATTCAGGCTCTACTAAGAGCAAATTACTATTTCCTGGAAAGCAAAGCCCTGAATAGGTCTGAGGAAGAGCAGTTCACCTCAAGCAACTAGTGCAAGCTGTGTGAGACCTACTGGTTGTACTGTGATGATCACAAAGGAAATGGGTCTGCAATTTTTACCTTTTTACTTAACAATGAGGAGACTGGAACTAGAACACAGTTTCCTGTTTTGGTTTATACAAAGAGACACTGAAAGCTTTGGCCAAAAGGTGGAGAAGAGCTACAGAATTGAACACTTTAACTCTCTTTCAGCATGGCATTGTTTCAGATCCTTGATTCGGCATGGTTGGTTTATCAAGCAGTTGTGTGATTTGATTACAGGAGGCCTCCACAGGCAGAGAATACTTGCTGAAGGCTTTTTACATTCCTTTTGCTGTAAAGCTCAGATCAATGGCTGGAGACAGAATCCAGACACGTTTAAATGATGCGCAAAACAAGGGAAGTGATTAAGACCCGAAACAAAGAGCTGCTGGTTATGAGGAATTCTCTGTCTCTTGGTGCCTCCAAGTTGCAACCGAGTGCAAGAAGTGTAATCTGCGGTGGGCTGAAGCCTATCTGGTGCCATAGAGCAACATTCGGGTAAAATTTAAGGGTGCTTGGACTAAATGATGTTATCACCTCCTCTGCCTTTAAGCTGTGTGAGTCACTGTGTTACCGTTAGGAGATTGCTTCACTTCTATGCCTTAATTTGCCAATTCATTTTAAAACAGAAAGATGCCGACCTCATTTGGCTGCTGTGGTGCTTAATTCCTCATTATAAAGTACTTTGAGGTCCTTGGCTAAATGGATCCAGAGAAGCACAGTGTCTGGATACTCACCAAAAAAAAGGACTTCAGAGAAGCTTTATTCATGCTCTGTTCTGTGCTGAGTTTCAGTGTCATGGGAAATCTGGGCATGTTAATGACTTACTTTCTTTATACAGGCATTGATATCCATTTTGTTCATGTGAAGCCTCCTCGTCTGCCTGAAGGCCAGTCTGCAAAGCCACTGTTAATGGTTCATGGCTGGCCCGGCTCATTCTATGAGTTTTACAAAATCATCCCTCTCCTGACGGATCCTGCCAGCCACGGCCTCAGTGACGAACACGTTTTTGAAGTCATTTGTCCATCTATCCCTGGTTATGGTTTCTCAGAAGCACCCCACAAAAAAGGTATGATCTGTGAGAAGAAACTGAACATAAGCCTAGTCTCACAGTGAGATAAACCCCATTAGCAGAACAGTAACTCCTGGCACTTGTTTTTTTTCCCAGTCTAGAAACAAAGATCCTGTGTGCCCTGTGGGAAGAGGGAGATAAGAGTGTGATGTCAGGTGACATCATTACTTAGTTTCAGGAGCACTGTATAGATAATTTACAAAGGACTATAAAAAGTTATGAAGTGACAACTCATGAATTGAAATGGAGTCAATGAATTGTGTAGGGGTGAGCAGGAAGAGTAAATTTAATTTGTTACTGTTCCTCTTGGGTGTTTCGAATCCATATTCAACAGCATTATACAGGTAGGTGAGAAGCAAGGGTTGAAACAAATCAATTCATGTATTTGCATGGTAGGTTGCAGCCAAATGCCTGCTTGTTCAGCTTGTGCTCTGGTTTATACAAACATAAGCTGCAGCTAATTGGAGCAAGGTAGTATTTAAAGTGAAACTGAGGTTAGTATTTCGTTATGTGTGCAGGTGAATGATGTGGGGAAGGCTGGTTTTCTCTGCTTCCTTGGTTATGATTTATACAGTCACCATTTAGTGGAGAAGTGCATTACTTGTGGCAACTTCAAGCTTTTCATCATTAAGATGAGACTCTGCTCACTGTACACAAAATGGGAACACATTCCTTGTGCAGTGCTCACCGACAGGGCTCCGCTGGAGTATGATTACAGCTTAAAGAACTCTAGGAACCCCTTGGTGTGGCAGTTGGGGGGGTTAGGAGAACATGAGTCTGCAACGAAGGCCTTGTGGTTTCTGCTTGCTCCCTAGACCTTGCTGTTAGGCAGTCAAGGAAAACCAGACTTTGAACTTAAACTTTGCCTGTATGGTGAGAATAAATGCTGCACAGGCAGCAGCACAGCTGGAATTACTGCAACAGTGTTGTTTGTTTGTTTTTAACAGACTTCAATTCTGTAAGTGCTGCTTCTGTTTTCTATGAACTGATGCTCAGACTGGGATTCAACGAGTTCTACACACAAGGAGGTGACTGGGGCTGGCTCATCTGCACAAATCTGGCCCAGATAGCTCCTAAGTGAGTACCCTGCTGGTGCAGTGCTGCATGATTGACATACAGAGCTGCTTTATTCTCTGAATAGCTATTTCTTGCGCACTTGAGAGCTTCTGTCCAAGTCCTCATCTGTAGTTTCCATCTCCAGTGCTCAGAGTTAAGCAGTGATCCAAAATTACATACCTTAGTTTACATTGTATACCTGTTCTTTCAACCAGTAGTGCAGTAGTTTTGCAATGGCCCCACTGGCTCTGGAGTGGTAAATGTAATAGAAGGAGGATTTGTGGCTTAGTGCCCAGGAGTGTGTGCTGATTAGCGACAGTTGCCCCTTTGACTTGTCATTTTGGGGTGAAAAGCCACATTGCAAGGTACAGACAAGGACATGCTGTAATTAGCAGGTTGGAATTTAAGTACCTGTTAAGTGTCAATGTCTGGTAATAACATTTTAAATATAACAACTTTGAATCACATTTTACTTGTTAATTTATGGGGACTTTTTCTGCTTTGCTTTTCAGCCATGTGAAAGGTCTCCATTTAAATCTCGCCTCAGTTTCCAACATGGGGTTCACTCACCTGCTCTCCATCCTGCTGGGCCGCTATCTTCCAGGGCTCTTCGGTTTCCAGGATGAAGATGTCAGGCGGATGTTTCCCTTCTTAAAGAAAGGAGTCTACAAGATCTTGATGGAGTCTGGCTACGCTCACATACAGGCTACGAAGCCTGATACTGTTGGTAAGAGAAAGACTCCATTTGAGCTCAGCATATTTAGTCTGGTCATTTCATAGAAACCAAACATAGTGCTTAAAGTATGCAGAAAATCAGGTTTTGTCAGGGAAGCTGAAGTAGGAGGTTTGAGGGTTTAAAAGGTTCTGTATCCGAGTCAGAGAAGGTTGCATGGGGGTATATGGCATTACACTTGCTTTTGAATGCAGAAGCAAGTAAATCTGCACCACAGAACTGAGCATGCTCTAAGTGCCACTGACCTCATTTTCAGTTTTCATTAATAAAACAGTTTATTTAATACTTTCCCACTTCTGCTATCACTGGGGACTGTAATTCTAGTTCACATGCAGCTATGCTGAGAGCAAAAGATACTTCACAGAGAATGGATCACATTCAAATGATCCATTGTAATATTTGATTTGGTATCATTATGATGGGGCCTACAAGGATGCAAGAGAGGGACTGCGGTGACAGGACAAGGGGTAATGGGTTCAGACTGAAGCAGGGGAAGTTCAGGTTAGATATAAGGAAAAAGTTCTTTACTGTGAGGGTGGTGAGGCACTGGTACAGGCTGCCCAAAGAAGTGGTGAATGCTCCATCCCTGGCAGTGTTCAAAGCCAGGTTGGACAGAGCCTTGGGTGACATGGTCTAGTGTGAGGCATCCCTGCCCATGGCAGGGGGGTTGGAACTGGATGATCTCAAGGTCCTTTCCAACCCAAACCAGTCTACGTAAACTACAAGAAGCTTTAGCTTTTAGCTGTCTCAGCACACAATGTAGCTTCTTTTTAGGGATAACTGATACCTGAAAAGTAGAATCAAATTTAATTTTCACGCAATCACTTGCAGACTTTCAAGGAAAAAAAAGATGTACCTATGAATGTGCTATCTAGATAAGCTAATCACTCAGATTGCCTAACTGCTAAAGTATCTGAGTTTTAAGTGTTTCTGTTTTAAGAACATCCTTTGCAACTGGACATACTGAATATATTTTAATTTAGTGCAGCAGCAATTTATTTGTGGATTTTATTAAGAACATAGCTAAGGAAAGTATTTCTTTATGTTTTTCTATAGCTTACCTGCAGAAACTTGTATGTTCTTAAAATCTGTAGGCAAAATGGGAATTTTATTGATTTTAAGTAATTTTGAGTTTTGTTTTCTAAAAATTACTAGCCTCTAATTGTGTTTGTGCTTTAAGATGGGAAGCTGGTAGCTGGACAGTGCCAAGCCATGTGCCTTCTGCTGTGGTTTCCCATTTGACTCTTGTCCCTACCAGTAACGTGGTCTGTCAGAGTGGACTGTGCTGACTGGCAACCAAGAGCCAGCTCATGTTTTGGGAGCTGGAGCATTCCTGCAATTCTGAGGACAAAGAGGAGAGGAGCATGGCAGGTGGCAGGTTCCCACAGGGAGAAAAACACTCTGAAGAAAGCAACATAAGGTGGCTTGAAGAAGCACAGCCACGGAGGCTACCACAGTCAGGAAGACTTCTGGTAGTACAGGGCTACCTTGCAAGCTGCTCTAGGCGAGGAAGTTGTCGCTGGCTATTGAGATAGCCAGATACAGATATACACATAGTGTGTGTGTGTGTGTGTGTATGTATTACACACACACTGTGCTTCCTAATACTATACTCTTGCTTGCCTCAGAGCTGGCTTTTCATCAAACTGCCTTGCATGGATTTGATTTTACACATACTCTTAGGGAAACCTGCATGGAGCATGGATTTGTTTTCACCTGGCTGGAATAGGCAGTGCCTGTATTCCAAGTACTGTTAGGATCAGTGTCAATTTTCCCTTTGTGTAAACAGATATACATATTGTGAACAAAGAAGGGTACATGAGAACAGGCTATTGCTTGTCAAACAAGTCAGTACAACTTTCCCAAACACTTGGTATTTCAGTTATCAGTATTAGTTGTTTGATAACTGAAACTCAACTATCATGTTTAAATAGCAGTTACTGCTGAAATTCTGCTAGCTCTAGCACTAGGCATCTTTCAGGAAGGTTGGGTTGCATGGGTGGAACTTCAAATATATTGCTGCTCCTTGGGGAAAAGCTTTTTCTAAGGCTTTTCCTAGCAGCTGAAACAGTTTATGGTCCCTGTATTTCACAGCACAAGGATTAGCAAAGTTCCAGGTGCAGGTGTGTGTTTTCTGTCCAAGCAAAACAAACTATAAAAAGTATATTAAGGCTTGTTATATGTTAAGGCAGTTGGTGGTTGTTAATTCAGAAGAAGGACCTTTTAGTAAAGCTTTGCTCTTCCTTAATGACTTTCTAATAATCCTTAAAATGTTTTTGCTGTTAGATAATGTTGCACATTCTCCCTGTCATGTGCAGGCTTGTGGGGTTTGTCCCTGTAATGCTGTTTAATACATGACAACTTCCAGATTAATGGAAGCAAACCCTACTTGGCACACAGTCCTTAATCGTATTAGCTTACAAGGGGTGGGGAGAAAAAAAGCCTGCAGAAATCCAATACTGTTACATCAGTTCAAAAAACATATGGTTTGAGCTAATGTGGAGCCTGTTGGTTTGCAGATACTATCAGACTATGAATCAATAATAAATAGCTCCAACTTGTTCTACTGTATTTATTTAGGAATACAGCTGCTGGAACAGCTTTGTAAAGTTATCTACCCTGTGTTATAGCTCCTGTAATAGTCTGAGTTCAGTAGTAAGGTATCACAGTTCTAGTGAACTTTTCCTCCTTTTCAGGCTGTGGTTTGAATGACTCTCCTGTAGGACTGGCTGCGTACATCTTGGAGAAGTTTTCTACATGGACTGATCCAGAATTCTGTAGTTTAGAGGATGGAGGACTAGAGAGGTAAGCTGTTCCCCCTGTGCCACTTTGGACAAGGTGATAGAGTTGTAGCCAAGAAAGTTCGTCTGAATTGATCACCTTCCATCTCACAGGGAGCCTGTAGAGACCACAAGAAGTGCAGTGCTGTGCTACAGCATGCAGAAAAGCAAACAGGCAATGAAGGCTGAGGTACTCCCTTCCCAGTTTGATCTGCAGCTTCTGGGTATTGAAAACTGACCTAGGTGGAAGAATCTCATTAGGACAGAAAAACAGAATTTCAGTTCTACATTAAGAGGCTGGGAAACAGAACTTATGACTCATTTTAATACTAGAAGTTAGCACTCCATGAATTTGCTTTAGATTCATTCATAGTGGCTTCATCTACGTACTGTTTGCTAATAAAGGATAATTCTTGGTATGCAAGAGATGACTTTGAAGATTGCTGGGTACCTGGCAGTAATGGAGTAAAGGGGCACATTATGAAAAGGACCAGTGACCTATTCAATGGATTTGAATAGAGAGTTTGCACTGCATACAGCTAATTTGATACGAAACACACTCTGTTTACAGTTCATGTTGTGATGGTTCTACTGAAGGCTCACGGTAACATTCCACATTATGAACAGTAAATGGCACAAGCTGTTCCATGTGCTTGTCTGCTCCTACTCTCCCAGTCTATGGACAGTACAGTGCTTGTTCTGAGTCTGTCTTCCATGTAGGAGTTAAGATGTCACTTCCCTGTTTGTGTCTGAAAGCCTTTAACACGCCTGAATGTTAACGTGTCAGTGACAGGCAGAGGGGGAGCAGCTTCCCCTCTGAACTCTCTTCTTAACCAAGTTAACTGTTTTTTTCCTGAAACTTTTTTTTTGCAACTAAACCAAAGTCAAGTTCCTTTACAGTACTGGTATTCAGTTCTAACTAAGCAATCAATCTCTGGGCTTACCTATTCAGGAAGTTTCACCTGGATGATCTGCTCACCAATATCATGATCTACTGGGTGTCAGGCTGTATAGTCTCCTCCATGCGTTTCTACAAAGAAAATCTGCAGAAGGGGATAGGTACACAGAAACATGAAAGGTAAGTGTTCTGGTTGCACACAGGTTGCTTATGCCTTATGGCTGCTGCAAGTTTCTGAATGCTGAGGAAAAGCACTGCTGTATCACAGTGTTCCTCTGCAGGACAGGTTGTTAGTTAGACCATCATGTGCTTGGAAAACACAGTAGTTAGGTAAGAATCCTGAACCATCAGTAAGGAGACGTGACTGGAGGCCCTGCCTGAAGACCTCCCATTCTTGGTGTATCCAACTGGGGAAGACTGCCTGCGACTGAGGCACGCAGTTTTGTTTATAGCTTATCTGTATGGTAGTTCTAGGACTTCTGGATGCAGTTTGCCTATTTCTACAAAAGATTTAAGTGCTCTGGAAGCAACTTCAGCATACTGACAAACTGCACAATTTGGAAGTCACCAAGACTCGTGTTCCTGCTGTGCAGACACTTAAAACAGGAGCTTGGTTGCATATACTTGTGTCAGCTTGAGTATTAGTGAAGGCTTAAACCTGCCCTGAGGTATTTGCAACCACAGCTCAGTGATGTGGTATTTAGCTGTGAAATGATGCTCCCAGGAAGGTGACTTGGTTCTTGTAGCAAGTACACAGTGAGTGGTATTCTGTTTCAGTCCTGCTGACATGAGATGAGCTATATGAACTTCTGCGTGCCCAGAGGAAAGAGTCTCAAAGACTTACGCAAAATCAGGCACCCTGTTTTCAGGCTTCCAGTGGTTATGTGCCCAACAATTCTTTTATCTAAATTTTAAAATCTGTTTCTTCTGACAATGCAGCTTAAGTGTATGGGATATTTAAATCCAGGAATGTTGTTCAGTTTGTAACAAGCAGGGATCATTCCAATTTCCAAGATACTTTTCTCCTCAAATCCAGCTGCTTTCCATCACTTAATAACGTGCAAAATGTTGTGTAGAGTGCCTTCATGCTAGTTAAAAGCAAGAGCTACTTTACAGGGTGAAGTCTCTCATTAGGAAATGTTTCCTCTGAACTAGTCTTGATTTACTATTATTCCTCCCCTCTCCTTTCCCTTTGCAGCAGTTCAAGATAACTCTTCCCCTTCCTACCCTGCGGTTGTCAACATGTTCTAGTTGTAACCTTCACTGTAACTCTCTCTCCCTTCACATTATGTGCTTTCCCCTCAATACATGACTCTTGAGCCCTGAATGGAGCATGTGGAACCTTGATCCTCCCTCTCGTCCTGGGGTTCTCTTCTCCATTCCCATGCTTTTAACTCATGCCCTCAGTCTCTTGCAAAAGGGCCTTAATATCAATGTATGGATTTTCATTTTTTTTTTCCCCCAGGGAGTGTTGTCTTCAAATGTAGGATGTGGACATCAAATTTTGATTACCTAACAGCAGTGTGCCCAACTGTTTTACGAACAACACTTCCCTATGACTTTCCATTTCTTGCAGGGCTAAGTGTTTGTTTGAAAGATCAAACCAATTCTCTCTCCTCTCTCAGGCTCACAGTACAAGTACCTACTGGCATTGCCTCCTTCCCTAATGAAATCATGCACACGCCCCAGGCTTGGGCCCAGAAGAAATACACCAACATCGTTTCCTTCCATTTCATGACTCGAGGTGGCCACTTTGCAGCATTGGAGGAACCTGAACTTCTTGCTGAAGATATTCTGCAATTTGTTGGGAAAGTAGAGAAAGAGCAACTTTGGAGAAAGAAAGAATAACTCTGCTGACAAACAGCAGGGTAACTGCTTATAGCTTAGCACATGTACAAGCCTTACTAAGTACTGTAATCCATGCAGTTACATCTTATTCTTGACCAGATGTGAGAGGACAGCAAGAACAATGCAGTATATCTCTATGAGATACTGCCATGGAGACCTATTGATTGTGGGTTGGGTCTCTTTGTTCAGCTAAGCTGAGACAGTAGCATGAAGATCACCTGGTTATCTTCTCCCTCAAGCAGACTTCTAAAATCTGTAGTTCCGTAGTATTCCTGACCCTTGCTTTGAAATTGAAAAATAGACCTTAAACATCAGAATTAACTAATCGGTTTATTAGAGGCTTTTTTTTCATGGCAGCAGTAAAACTTGAGTTTGTGTGAGGCACTTCACACCTACACCAAGACTGGGAACAGCAAGACCCAACTTGTGTGAGTGCAGGGGTTAGTCAGCATCGATGATCTGCAGCACCCTTACACTAGCCAGCTGGCTGCCCTTCCTATCCAGCCTGGGCTGTTGAGCAGCTTCCTGGCTGGGAGGAAGCTCTGCTCCCCTCTGCCTGGCTCCTTGTACAGCAGCGTGTGAAATGCACCAGCTCAGACCAGAGGGAGGGGCTGGGTCTGAGTAAGTGTAGCCCAAACTCCCTCTGCACTGAATTTGTACTCTTAACCAAAATCATGGCCCTGGACAGGCTCAAGACACTGTGGCTTTGCACTGCTGCTGCAGAGGATTGTAAATACCTCTTCCTAAAGAATAAACGTGTGGTTAATTAAAAAATAAAAGACCTGCATTAACATTTTGAATAATACCTGTATGCTTCTTTTAGATGTTGTAATAGCTGAGACTTTACTTGGTGATAGCTGAGAAGCAGCAGTTCAGACCCTCTGTACTGCATCTGTTACAAAGGTCAGATTGAAGGCAAACTGCTCAAAGAAAATTGTATTTGAAGGGCTGCATGGTTTTGCCAGCAACAGTCCCTAGTGTAAGCAGTTGAGCTTCAAACACTCTCAAACTCTATCCAGATGACTGATTTCAGTATGGTTTTGTTCTCCATTCGCTGCTGACATACTTCCCTACCCCTGCAAGCACAGGGAAATCTAATCCACCACTAACACTTGCACGGATTAGTATCATTTCACAATATTAATTGAAATGGAAGCTGTTAAGTAAGAGTCACTCCACCAGAGCCCTGCTCCATCCCACAGGGCTTTATGCTCAAGAATACCACGGGGCTTGCTTCACAGAAGGCAAGTCAATGTTCCTGCTGGCACGTTTGAATCTTGGTGCTAAAAGCCACCTGATGCCCAATGATAGAAAATCACTTGGGCAGATGGGTGGCAACCCAGCCCAGATGTTTCTGAGCAGAGCCTGGGACCTCCAGCCCCCTTTCCTCTCTGCCTCCTGTGCTTCTGCCCCTGGGCACCAGCAAAGGAAGGCACAGCAGCTTCTGCTGCCTCAGTCCTTCAAGCTGTACTTGAGTTCTGTAGGATAGCTAACTGCTTCCACGTTAGCAGTGAGCACTAATTCCACGTTTACTTCTGAATGCTTTCATTAGTCACAATTTGTGTTCTCATTTGCAAAATACTGTGTGGTACAGACAGGAATAAAATACATAATGATTCACCTCACCTAAAAGAGGCTCTTCTCAGAGAAAACCATCCCCACACTTGTTTTAGGTCCAGTATGTTGAAAAACATTGCTTATTCAAGAGGAATCAGCTCACCTCTGACAACAGCAGCTGTTCACAGGCACCAACCACTCTGCTCCTTGTACCAGGCTGATCTCTGGCCCCTTGCTTTTGCCTTACTTCTGTCCCCAGTGTGGCCTTATGTTTGAGAGCTAGAGCTCATCCCCTCTCATCTTCAGTACACAGGCGGACATCTGCTGTGGTGCTGGGGAACACTGCCATACACCAACAGAAGCCAGCACGGTCACAGGGACTGCTCAGTCACAGCACAGATCGAGTTGGGGGAAGACAGTTTGCTACATTATCTGTGCCAAACAGTTTTTCAGATGTTAGTAGAAGGCTTGAAGCATTTTCCCCTCTCCCTTCTGGAGCAGACCTGCTTGAAGGGGCCCAGTCTCAATGAAAGGAGGAACATCAGGGCTCTGTTTTGTGATGATACATTACAGCAGCTCATCAAGGCTCAGGCACCAGTGAGACTGGACAGAACACAACCACCTTTCTATTTTTAAATACACCTCTCGGCGCTCAGCAATCCAAGACAATGATAATGAACAGAGGCAGTAAAGGAGCACATCCTCACCCTGCTCTGCATGCCAAGTCAGCACCCTTCAGCCTACCAAACATGAGCTGTCCACATTATCAGTTCTACTGAGGATAAAAGACAGGCACTGAGGCACGAAACCCAACACAAACATGGGTTTGATCAGCTGCTGTCTGAAAGAGAGAAAAAATCTGGACCTAGAAGCTTAAAAATTATGATGAGACACCTGTTCTATAGCAGAGGTTATTCTCATGTCACACTTCTCAAACCTTAAGCCCACAGCTAACAGCAGCTGTTGTTCAGCACCTACTTATCTACACTTAAAGATACAAAGATTGAGTGAAATGCTATGACAATGTGAAAGAGCATAAAGCTGGCCATGGGCCAGCTGTAAAATCTGCTGTCACTTCCCTTCCCCTTCTTCAAAGTAATCACCTGCTTTTAGCAAAAGGCACCCAATCCCACTCCTGCAGTGCTAGCTTTAGTGCTAATGAGGTGTTTGCAGGCTAACCATGGCATCTGCATCTCCTCCTGCAAGGAACAACTCCCCCATGAGCCCAAGATTTGGACTGATAGCCATCCTGAGTGAATCCAGACTCACTTCTGATACACTCCAGCACTTGGAGCACGTCCAAACTGTTAGCTTCAGTACTACCATGAGCAGTGTAGAAGTCAGATAATCAGAAATTTTTACCATTTCTGTTAGCAAGTAACTGCATATCAGATTATTGCAGTAGTAATCAGCAGGAAGAAGGGACTCTGCTCTATTCTACTTGTTCTTACCAAAGTGAGCCACCCGAGTACCTGCCATTCGGACAGCAAGTCTCCTCTAACAAGGCCAAATGCACTGCTGTTGGGCTGGCTGAGCTGCTCCTTTGGAATAGTAGCTTCAGCCTTCAGGAGAACGCAGTGGTGGTTTGATGCTCAAAACATTTTGTTTTGCCCCAGAGCCATTTCATGGTGAAGTCTCTATTTCCAGACCAAAGCTGCCTGAAAGTCTCTGCTCAAAGAAACTGCTCTTCCCTAAGTTGCTCCAAAACATGCATTTATCCCACACCAAAACCAGAAGTGGCTGACCTAAATCCTGCTTTGTAATTAGTTACAGCCCATGAGGAGGCTGAATAAGCAGTTCAGAACCATGGAGATGCCACTGGAAATAACCAGAACTTATACTCTGCTCCCGTCCTTCCTCCTCCTGTCCTCCCTGGCCTTCCCAACTGAAGTACTTGGGTAAGTATCTGTTTCTGGCATGGAAAAACACTAGTAAGGTCATCATCGTCTCATACAGCCCAGCTAAAATGAATTTGACTTCTGATTTTTAAACTACAAACCATAAAGTCTGTGAAATCTAAGCTGTTCTGTGTAGCCCATGGACATCTTGTACAACCAAACGACAAGACTTTATGTACATGAAACAAAATAGTCAGGCATTACTCAGATTATGAATGAAAAAATATGACTAGAAATCACACTTTCATATGAAAAAGGAAGTTAAGCCATCATTCAGTGAAAAATAGAATCTGTTAAGTATAGAGTTAGATCTAGATCTGCAAGGGCACCACTCATCACCACTGAGTCAGCTGGAACTGCTTGGGGGCAGTTCTGTTTTACAGCAGGTGCAATACATAATATGCATTAGATGAAGATACGTTTTTGTCTGAATGAGCCATGGAAGGAGCCTTCTGGATACAGTGGGAAGAGACAAGGAATAAATACATATTGATTTCAGGGTAGCTTATTTTAACACACTGAGAAATGATGCCACTTGTTTTACTTGCTGTAATAGCACTTTAAGTAACATAACTCACACTAAAACCGTCTTGCTTAGGATTAGTTTTCTTTCATGAAAGAAATACCCTGTGCAGTGCCAGACAGCCCTGATGGTGTTATGGCAATGCTGCTAGAAGAATTAGCCCCATTACAATTGTCAGTTGTCTTCTGGAGAGCAGTATTTATGAACAGATCTGTACTGAGTGACAGCTCTTTCCCCTTGCAAGATGTAGTCCAAACGTCAGTCTTCAAAATACCTTCCTGATTGGATTTGAAGACATTAAGGATGCTCAGGCTCTTGCCTGTGTTTAATAACTGAATGTCTGCAGTTCTGAGGATAGGAACGATAAATGAGATTTAAGTGATGACTTTCCAGCTTCTTAAATGGAAGATAATCCCCTTTGTAGCAATGGTTCAAACCACTGCAGATGATCAGCGCAAAGGGAGTACAGTGCAGAGAAAAGAACAGAAACACAGAAAGGCAAAACTCATCTCAACAACCAATACAACAAAAGATACCAACAGAACAAACTGAATTGTATGTGAAGACTGACTCAACGACGGTTTTAACAGCACGAAAGTGGTGCAAGATGGCTCTCCACATTGCCTGTGCTTCCCATCCCAGCAGCTGCAAGGGGTCCAGCACCCTGTTTGCAAAGCCTTCTGCCCCTTGTTCCATCTGCTCTGGGCCAAAGGAGGGCCAGGCCCTGGAGGTGAAAAGAGAAACTGCACCCTCTGCTCTGAGGTTCCTCCCAGTCCCTGACTTGCCCCCCACTGGTATCTGCATCCAATGGGAAACCAGCTTGTGCCTCTCCTGCTGATAGGGGCTTCCTTCCTTCCTAACAGAGCCCACCAACCGTTCCTTCATTCCCAGTTATCAACTACACAGGAGTGCGTGGGTATGTCCCACCCCAAGGACTTCAGGTAAGTGACAGATGTCACCATTTTCCTCTGCAGAGAGGAACATCTTAACCCAGCCAACATTCTTCCCACTATGTCTGTATAGCATCCCTTGCTCAGTGTGATTTCCTGAGCTCCAACTGAGCCCAAGCAGTCCCACTCACTCACTTTGGGACTAGAGCCATGCTCCTTCGTAGGATCTCATCTCCGCTCAGAGTGCGCCTACTAACCTTTCAGCTTCCCCACATGGAGGGAAGTGTTAAGAGCAGCTTTATTTCCCAGCAGCTCTCAAGCTCTTTTGCAACCAAGCCTGCATTGTTGGGGTGGGTTTGTACGTAAATACACGTGTATCTCTTGAGTTCTAGAAAACCTGATACAGCCTCAAGGGAACTAAGGATGCTACAATTCTCTCAACTTCATCACTGTGTCTTTTCCCTTTTGAAGATAAATAGCAGGAATAATGGTTTAAATGATTCCTGTTAAAAGTGCACAACTGATTTATTCCTCAATTTTTGCCCTTCCCAACAGATTCTGACTTCTGGTCATAGAAGGGAATGAATTATTCCTGTTTTAGGATCAATTTTTAAGTTACAGATGTCAAATATAAAGGAATAAGAAGAAAACCCTACTCCATTCTATAAAGCTAGAACCCTGTCATAAAAGAATTCAATGCCTGCAACCAAATTATGGTACTTAGCAATTCTTCATATTATTTCCTTCTCCATTTCCCTCTGTGGAGAGAGCTGCTGGTTTTATTTCTCTGTGTCTATAGATGGAGGGGAAAAAATACTGATAATAATACTTAGGGAAAAATTATATAGAATTCAAACTAAGTTTTGACATGGAACATCTTCAACTGAAAGAAGCAACTTGATGCTTTCCACTTCAGGAGAGCAGGCTGTAATAAAGCTAATTGATCTGAAAAGCCACGTATAAAACACCACTAAATGCATGAAAGATTCATGCAGAAGGGAGGCGAGCTGTGTACAAAAATACATCTATCTCACATTCCCTCTGCTCTCAGTCTTCCTGCAATGCAGCTCTTTTTATGTTAATAAACGGCTAAGATGCACAGCAGAGAGATGCCTTTCAAAAACAGTCACTAATTTCCATCACAAACCTTCACTCTTTTGCAGCACTACATGAATACTGAAGGTTCACAACCACACAGCACTAATGGTAAGAGACAGCAACAAGTTCTGGCTCCTGTTTTATTTAGGAGATAGCACACATTAGAGTGATATCCACATGTGATATGTGGACATATCGCACATTAGAGTTCTAGAACTCTTTTATTTGAAACATCACTTTTGGTAAGTGTCTTCATTAACTATTAACCAGCATTTAACTAACCACTAAATATAGCAGCTGACATGAAAATTCACCCTCTCTTCTTCTTGGCTATTTCCAGTCCCACCCATTCCCACCTGAATATCATGCACAGACCTGGTACAGAGCATTCAAGGACATCAGACCTTCCAACCAGATCTTCCTGTGACACTCTGGAAGATGAAGTGTATAAAGGCCCTAAAATGACACTATCATATCCATATTATACTGCATGTACCATGTATCTCTCACATCTCAGGGGAATGATAAAATGGAATGAAGCTCTAGACTGCTGAAGACCACAAACGTTGTACCAGTAGACATTTCCAAACTAGAACTTTAGTGGAAAGGGAACTCCATCCAGAAATGAAGCTGGAGATTTATTTAGTTTTAAGTTAAGTGAAATTCTTACTTAAAACACAGAATTATTACTTTCCACTATCCATAAACACTGGTCTTGAGGTGGGACTTCCAATCCATTCAAAAGGGAGAAGATCAGATGCGTGTTACACTGGAACTCACCTAGGAAGGCAGGAAACAAACGGCTTCAGCAGGGAACAAATCCTCCTCTAGGAAAGCAACAACATTTGCTTTCAACCAGGAGTTCAGAGTCCCCCAGTAATGGGGACTGCAGGCTCCTGGTTGGAAGAGATTAGTAATAGGGGCACACTGAGTATGGAAAAGCACCTTCATATGCTACAGCAGTCAATTCATGGGACCACATTTGTCAGTTCATCAAAGGAACAGAAAGGTACTTATGGTACATGCAACAAAGACGGCTGATCTTAATACCCTTTCTCTCCAAGCAACAAATGCTTACAGACTGCTGACAAAGAACAAGTGACGATAACCCAGGAGCTCTGTGTCTGACCACAAAACAGTTGGGAAGCTGCACTTGCTGCAGCCGAGATGCTATGGCCTAACCAATGGAACATCAGAAACAAAGCAAGAGCCAGGAATTAACCCAAGAACCAAAAAATTAAAGGGAAGAATGTTCTGTTATAGTGACCCAGTCTCAAGTCTCTCCACTTTGTGATTTCCTTTGTTTTGATCTGTCAGACAGCTGTCCTCAGAAAGAAAGAACAACTTCTGTACCTCTGAACTATCTGAAACAGGCACTCACAGCTGTTACAGACAGGTGACATGCAGAACCATTTGAGATGCCTTGTCTAGATTAGAGAGAGAAGGAATTTGCAAGACCACTTTAAGAAGTTAAGCCATGTCCTCTTTGAAAGTTATGACCCTGCCCATCATTTGAAGTTAAAAGTGTGTATTCCCTTGTATTTTTTTCAGTTTAGAGCAATAAAGTGTGTCTTTTCTCTGTACTTGATGGACTTCTGCTTGTGAGACCCCTCTTCCCGAGCTCTCCCTGTGCTTCTCACCTCACTTTTGCTAAGAGCCAGGAAAACAGCTCTGTGGTCCCCTGCTTCTAGCACAATCCCACCTTCCTGAGAAACACACAAGGCTTCAAATGCTAATAAATGGACTATCTGTGGATCATATATGAGGAAGCTTCTAGTTGTGCTGCTAGGATGTGTCAATAAGCAGAGCTGGGACTATGTAAAGAAACAGAAAGAACATGGTCAAATGCTGTGCTGAAGCATTTAAAACCTTAGCCAGCACAGAGATCTACTTTTGGCTCAGGGCATGGGAAAAGCCCAAAGGAAAACAGAGCATGAACGTGTGCACCTAATGCAAACGAGAAACCGCAATCGTTTGGGTGTTGAGGATGTAATAGGGTTGGAGGTGAACCAGACTGGGCATGCATATAGAATAAGCTCTAACTAGCACAGAGCTGGATGTATCCAAACAAGCCAAAGGTTATTTTGGGACTCAGCATACAATATAGCACTCTCTTCGCTATAGAAGAAAATCAGCTAGAGTGAAGAAAGATCTTTGCAGAGTGTACCAAAATGCACAATATCAAATGAGCTCTGTTCTTCAGCTTTTCAGAGCTGGCCCTTCAGTTGGGTCACAGAGAACCTCACCACAGACCACAGAGTAGGGCTTACTTGTGCTTAATGGCCTTGTCCAGATTCCCATTCCACAGGAGCACTGCTGGTCAAGGCTGCCAGAAAACAAGTAAGGACTGAGCAAGGAGTGAAATGGGGGGGAGTTGTTCCAACTGAGCAATGCAAGGCAAGCAGCAGGCACTGGATCTCAACAAATATGGCTTCTGGGAGCTACAATCAGTAACTCCAGCTGGGCCATTTGCTCAGGCTTCCTGCCAGAAGATTTATAAAAAGAACAGTAAAGAATGTGCAATAGCTTTAAGTATGTCAAATACAGCACAGCCAATATCCACATTTGTTAAGGCTTCCATCCCTCAGCTTTTCTGTAAGGCTCAGCAAGGAATGCAAGGAGTTTCTCCTGCTGATCTAATTTTATCCTCTCGGAGACATCCACCAGCAAGAAGGAATGAACTAGAGCCAGTGCAGGTCCTAATTACTTCCACATCTCAGAGACACCCAGAAGATAGTAGGGCAGCAAGCACAACTTAGCAAAGCTGATAAACCAGCCTCTAATCTGTGTGCTGCTATACATGGAGATCTTGTGATAATTCACTAATAGGTGATTCTAGCCTTTACTCTAACTAGTGCATGTCCAAGTACCACAGGCATTTCTATACACTAACTGCAACAAAGAACAGTGGCAAATGAGAATGGGTTGTTCACTTGTACATGACAAGTGAAATATACACGTGGTTTCTCCATCAGACACATGGACTGGTTCCTCAAATACCACCAGTGGCTATTTAGCAAGAAGCATGCTCTACACCTGAAGCATGTTAGCACGATGGAGGTGGGTTTATTCAAGTTCACAGAAGAGCTGGCCTTGTCTGTACCAAACCTGTGCTGGTTACAAGGAGCTTCATTACCAAGGTTCAGCAGCCTTCCAAGCATGAAAAAGGAAATCCAGCGAGCAAAAGAGATTTTTCCTTGCTATGACAGATAGAACCTCACAGTGAATATCAAAAGTCATTTGTTCAAAATAACAAGTTATACCACAGAGCACAAAAATCCTGCAGAGCCAGTGCTGTGAACAGGTCAAGTTTACAGGGAATGGAGTCATTTGATTCCTCAATTAGTATACACATAACGTCCACTGCTTCTGCAGTCACCTGTGTGAGATGGGTACCGAGCTAGAAATGCGTTAGAACAATCACAGGCTTCTGATCTAATTAATGCAACAGGCTCTGTCTCCTCCTTCCATCCTCACATCTGTATGAGAGACCCAGAGACAAGTGAAAAATGTGGAGTTGGTTGTTTTAATTTCTTCTTGGTTTGAATATCAATCTTAAGCAGCAGTTTGTACCTAGGGTACAAAGCACCTCTAGTCATACCATGATCAATAAATCCCCCTCAATGTTCAGTGTACAAGCCACCTCTAGTCATACCATGATCAATAAATCCCCCTCAGCGTTCAGTGTACAAACCACCTCTAATGATACCACAGTTGCTGAAATCAAAACACATGCAACCCCCTCACTAAACTGCCACACTGAAGTGATAACATAAAGAAGCTGACATAAATCCATGTCCCCCCACAAATAGACAAGGCCTTTTAAGCAGCACGTGTACCTTCCACTAACAGGATGGGCTTTTCAGCAGGGTTTTGAAGCTCTGCAAGGTCCTTCTTGCAGCAAGGCAGATCTCCTGCTCAGCATTCATCCAAGGTGCTGGTCTCAGGAAGCTGGAGGCAGTCCTGCAAGACACTGAACATCTGCACACACTTATTTACGGCACAGGTTTTACTCCCACCTCAAGATGCTGCTGCTTTACAGGCATGCTAGAAAAGGTCAAGTTCGGGAGCTAAGGGTTTAACAATGAGCAGGCAATGAGAGGGCTTGGGGGACGACGACAAAACCTTCTCCTACCCAAAGGTCACCAAGATGTATCCCCAGGAGAAACCTGAAAGGATTCAAATCTCTCATGGGACACACTCTCATTCTGAGCCTTATGACAGTGCCCTTATGAAGAGTTCATGACACAGCACACTGTGAGGCAGGCAGCAGCAGAACTGTTTCAATACACAAAGAAAACACAAATTTCAGCCTGAAATTCCTCTGAACTCAGTGTTTTATTGCTTCAGGATTATTAGTTGCACTTTGACACTATGTACTTCGGAGTAAATCGGCACCTACTGCATAATTTAAAATCTTAGTATCTTGCAGCTCATATAGTTGGCACTGTAGAGAAATCCCAGAGTTCTGTCATTTCGACCCAAGATTAAAAGAAAGGTAAAATTATTAGATCCTTTATTGTTGGCAGGTGAACTTTCACTGTGAAAGGCCCTTAAAAAGAGTGAACAGAAACTAACAACCTAAAGACCCTCCAAAAATATATAAAACTAGTATCACATAAAGCATTCCCATCTCCACACCAGTCTCTTTGCTTTGGTACCTGTAGTACCCGAGTGCACAGTAACCCACCCAGTGCACACTGAGTAACTCCCTCATCTCTTTTAAGGAAAAAGAGTAACATGGTCAAGTCTACACTGACTACTTTGGGTGATGAGAGACTCCCACACACCATCCTCATACCCATGCAAACATCATTTTCATCAGCAGTGACACTGCCTGAGGATTTAATGCATCCCAGGAGGTTTATAAATACCTTTTTCTTTTAAAGCAATAATTATTTTGAATAAATAAATTACAGCTGCATTTGCTTTGGTGACCAATTATTTATACGCAGCATAAGTTATCTTCATAAGGCAAGTGATGAGATAGCGTAAGTGAAGTCCCTGAGGATGAGCATCCCCGTGTTCAACAGGTTTGTTTCCCAATGTGCACAGACAGCCTGGAAAACAATCAGCCCCGAGGCATCTGCTTTTTAATCTCCAAGCACAGCTGCAGACCGCACAAGGAATTATTTCTGAACCTCTTCAGCAGGCAGGAGTATGCCAATAAAACAGAATACTTAGCAGACGGTGAGAATCGGTTCTCCTAAACCTGGACCAAGTGCTCCACCTTGTGTTAGTCCTTGGCATTCAAACCGAACTTCTCGTTGCCTGCTCTGTAACTACAGGTCCAGCGGAATAGCTCATGATTCCTTCTGCCTGTGAGGAAGTGTTGTCCATGGTGCCATACGACTGCTGCTCCTTATGGGCGAGCACCGTTCTTTCCGTAGGATGAGGATGCAAGACTTGGGGCACGTACATCTGAAATGACAAGCAATAAGGATTTTACTAGTCGCTCAAATGTTGTTGGGATAATTCTCCCCAGATTAATGTTGGGATATTCACCCTGGATAATTTTTCCCCTTGCAACTCTTCATCCACTTTCCATTCTTTCCCTTTACACATAAGGCCTTTTTCACCCTAACAGAGGCTTCCTGATGCAACTCTCACCTGTACTTGCAGACTGTTGCACAAAGGCCTCTGAGCCTTGCATCCTTTTTAGTGACTTGGCAGATAAGACATGATGCACGTCACAACTTTCAAAGTCACAAAGCTGTGGCAACTGACTGCTTTTGGCAGATGTGCAGATGTAAGGATCTGCCTCATGTAAGGCCCAGAACATAGCATACAGAGCTGCTTAAAGTATTGTCTCAGCTACTCCAAACACATATCCAAGGGTACTTCTGGAACACCACCTGGGAGCAGTCAAGGAGCTCAGCTGCAGAACTCTCTGGTCCCACAAGGAAAGTCCCACAGTCCATTCAGATTAATACATCCTACACAAGCTCTCTGGTTAGCAGGGTGAGAAATACAGTTTTTCTAGGAAGTGTAAGAGAGTATTAGTAACTCTTAGCTTCTTACAGAAGATGTGGTGATGGTTGGTACATCTGTGTCGTTTCCTCTTTCACCTTGTGTGTCTTCTACCTGTAACCAGTAATAGGTGGGGAAAGGAAGGGAGGCAATATCAAGTTAGTAAGTCAAAGCAATGGTAAGAGATGGTAAGAGCCCCAAAACCTGCACAGACAGAACTCTCTTCTCATCCTTTTGCATACTTCTTCCATACTGTTCTTCCCCCCCCAAATTCAGTTCCTGCCAACACTGTGCCTAGCAGCCTACCTCTACTATCAGCCCTCTTTGCCGTCTTACTGGAATGAACCTTTATGAATACATCGCTAGTGAGAAGGCAGAAAGCATCCAGCAGGAATAGCTGGTGCTACACCAAGCACATAGGTAGATGCTGAAAGATGCTGGGTATCCATCACTTACTTTGTAATTCAGTGGGCTCAGGTACTTGAAACAGCCAAAACAAGTATAAGCCAAGCAAATGGCGATTGTGATGTTGACAACTAGGAAGGTAAACATGGTTGTAGGTGCTTTAAAGCCTAGAAAAATATCCAGAAAATACAATATAAAAACACATGGCAAAAAAAAACAAACTAAACCCAACAAACAGAACTTCAGCCTCCCCATTTTTAGAGGCGAGGAAAGGTGGCTGCAATACTTGAACTAGAAACAAGACTCAGAGCAGCTCTTCTCCTTCCTCAGTCTATTGACCTGTGAAATGTCACACACAGAGTCCGTTTATTAATTATTACGATGGCACCAAACTGGATGGCTTGCAAGTAACCCAAAGGATAGGAAATATTTACCTTGGGGGGGTGGAAGAGGAAAAGATGAAATTGTATTTAGAAAATGTAAATAAGGGGAGATTTAGATCAGACATTAGGAAGAAATTCTTCCCTGTGAGGGTGCTGAGGCGCTGGCACAGGGTGCCCAGAGAAGCTGTGGCTGCCCCATCCCTGGCAGTGTTCAAGGCCAGGCTGGACAGAGCTTGGAGCAACCTGATCTAGTGGAAGGTGTCCCTGCCTGTGGCAGGGGGTTGGAAGTGGATGAGCTTTAAGGTCCCTTCCAAACCAAACTGTTCTGTGATTCTATGAAGTAACTACAATTCGGAATGAAATACGAAATGTAGACGTGAGGGATAACAAGCCTGTAGAATTGCAGAATACAGGTGATGATTACAGGCTGGAAAGCAGTCAATAGTGTGATGCTATCATAAAATATGGGCAGGAAATGGGGGAAAAGGAGGGGAAACAAGTCTTTAGTACCTATACAAAATAATTTAGCGCTACTAAGCCTTCAACTTCAGCAGCTTTGTCTGTGTAGGACACCGTGACAAAATAGGGATGTACTGGGAAGAATCCAAGGAAAAGGAGCATGAGAAGAAACTGAGTAAACATGAACTAAGCTGAAAGGTAAGGTTTTCTTTCAGGGTGAGGACTGCATGTGTGTGGTTGATAAGACATTAATGAATGAGAACAGTATTATCACTGTACTCTGCAACCAGACTGAAATGTCCACACCAGGCAAATCATACAAAATCAATGACTAAGCAATCAAGCCTTACACACCACAACTGATTTATTTTGCAGATTAGGAAGCAGAGCACTCTATCCCTTCCTTCTTTTGCTTTGGCACAAGAAGCAGCAGTGAAATCAATGGCTATGAAATCAAAATCTCAGGTTCCTACCCCTCAGACTCATACTATTTGGCTGGACTGCCCTATGCACTGACAAATCATTGAGCAACATCCTGAAAACAGGATCCTCTATACTGACCAGTAATCCAGACTGTATTTTCCATTACTAAGGTCCATCACAGATGATGGTTTTACCACAGATGCAAAACAAAAAAGCCCAGTATAATATAGATTTATTTTTTACTATATCAGGATTTCCTTCGTAACAATTAAAGAGGCACATCAACTGCTGTGTGTTTGAGATGATTTTTCTAAAGCATGCTCTAGCAATTTTGCTGTTATTTTAAAGGGCATAGATTTGTTGGTCTTCCTGGTTACAAAGACATCTCTCAAAGCAAGGGGAAAAAACAAGCTCTCAAATATACAAGTAATACAGGGACATCTGCTTAAACCCAAGGACAGCCTGAAGCAACAGTTTTGAGGGCCTCTTACCTCCACAGGGAGCTATCTCTAACGTTAGAGAAGAGTCTGCCAACATTATTATTTCACTACTGGTATGCTAGCAAAACACAATGCACAGCCAATCATTTGTCATCACTGCTGAGAAAGCAAAGAGGAAAATCCAGCTGGACAGCAAGGGCCTCCTTCCCAAGAAGGGAAACCCAACTCCTCCCAGCATCACTGGCATCCCTGTTCCTTGCTAAATGCTTCCTTCCTGTTTCATGGATAAAAAGCCATAAGCTATCACCTACCTTTTCTGATGTCAAAGCTACTAGTGCACCACAGCCAATATTATCAATGCCACGTGTTTGCAAGATACAGAACATCCCTATTTTTACAATAAATTACACACAAAACATGTTTTTTTATGTTACAATATGGGGAGGAGAGTCACCATCTCACTGCAGTCTGCTATGTGAAGCTTAATGGCTGATGGAGAGCATAGATCTACCCAAAATTTTAGTGTTTTAAGGTTTTTTCTAATGCCAGCTGTACCACAGAGGCAGTAGCCAATTCACCCAGGCAAATTAAACTTATGCACAGAATACATCAATGCAGGTAGTGAAAATAGAGCCCATCTTACTAG